CTGGTAGAGGTAATCTGAACAGAAGTTTGTTCTGCTAGTGAGCTGTATGAAAGAAACACAGTTTCCGCTTTTCACACAGCAACATACATATTAAAACATATAGGATCTCTCGCTTTCGGAGTAGAGGTCTTCGCGGTCTTTGCTGCTTACTAAAGCTTCATTTTTTTCTCCGTTGGCACATGAAGGATGCGTGCACGTTCTCGTCAAGGTTGTCTATGAATAGACCACCAAATAAATGATAATAGATGTTCTCGATTCAACTTCGGGGAACTCGGTGTCAATACATAGAACAGTGCTGTTTGTCGGTCATTTAGTTCAGTAGAGTTTGCACAACCATTAGACGTACGCCTTGGTGCTTCAGTTTTCTTGCTATCTATTGGCTACCAGTTTGAATGGAGAGGTATAAAAAAAGGATTGCAAATTTAAAAGCCGTATCGGTGATCACATGAATACATCACATTACAAATGCTAAATTCCTCTATTACTCACCTGACTCCGGCGAGCATTACCTTTTCAATAGCTTTTCACTAATTCTGATCGCGTTTGCGAAAATGATTTGCTAACCTGAGTGAAGCAAGACAAATTTATTCTATCTTATCTTATGAACATGACCAATTCGCTGTGTGAGTGTTAATTCGTGCCTGTGGTATGCGCGATGCACGGTACACAGGCCCTGTATAAACTCGAAAACGTTTGTATAACTAGCGTTCTGGTGGCTAAGGATAAAACTAAAATATAATTTACCAGGTGGAAAATGTTCATAATCTGTGGTTTTATAGACTTTAGAAACAGCTGTAGGGTGTGAATATCAATGTTTTTGTATACTTGTTGAAATGGTACGCCCGAATTTCGCCTTTATTTAGTGACCAATATTGCAGGCCTTTTTTCATTGTCACTTAATTACTAAATTACATATGGTGGATGAATATGCAGGTAAGATCATCAGTCGCATAACAGTTTTCAACTGAAGGAATAAGTGTATTAACAAACAATCACGGAGGAAATTGTGTAAAGGGAAGAAGGGAAAATGAAACCACAGACTGTAAAGTTTAACTACCCAATAAATAACTGATTGCTGCGGAAAATAAACAAACTCTGTTATTAGGTAAGGGGAAACTTGAATCAGTATCACGTTGAATAAAAAATTCACGTTTGCCATCAACTTGTGCAAAACGTCATTGTTTTTTTGGGGGGACCCCATGGCAGGTGCACTAGCTTCATAAAGCTACAAGCTCGTTCCATAAAAGCTCGTTCTTTATTTCCCGTGGTTGTTGGATATCCTACATACTATGCTGCGTTTTGTCAGCTTAAGGGCGGTTTGAAAAGTGAAATAGTTACTAGATATCCGTAAATGTACAAAAAGCATGATGAAACAGGTTACACAGTATGAGTAGAATTGATATCAGTCATTAATTTCGCGTGCTTTTAATCATCTGTCTGCGCGCAAGTGGACATTTACATGGCTGTGGTATCCTTACAACATTATGAGCTCGCGAAATCCGTCAGTGTCACTTCTGCTCGTTTCAATGGAATAAAGAACTTGTTAGAAGTAAAGGTGCCATTATCTCTAATTCTTTTGTAATGCCCTTAACACGTTAGGATTGTAAAAATAATAATTGATATGGACAAACGGCACATAAAGATTTCCTCCTGTACATTGGTTTCGGACGATCATTAGAAAATAAATTCACCAGCCCTTTTTGTTCATATTTGACACTTTTTCTAATGAGTTATGCTTATGTTTTGGCTGTTCGCTGTGTCGGGTAAAGTTGTGAATCAACCGTTCTGTTTGGTGTGTGCAATCTGTTATTATGGTGTTAGGCTCCCCTCCGCGTCCGAATTTTCAAATGTAACCTAATACTTTTCAGATGCCGGATGATATTCTAAGGGCTCGTTGGGAATCGGTAAAAATTGATCTGGAAAGTGGTATTCTATACACCGACACAACATACAAACTGCGTTCCGGTTCGCGGCATTTGGTGCCAACCTGTTGTGTAACAATACCGGATGATATAGGTGCGCCAAATGGTCTTCCTGAGGAGAAACGAACTCTGATTAAGCGTTTCGAAGAGCTGTCTGAGAGCATGGATAATAATATCACTTTTTATCATGAAGTTGTAGAACCTCAAGTGCGTGAGTGGTTGGACAAATACCATGCTGATAACATTATATCCATGGACGGCGATATGGACGTGAATGAAATCTTCTATGTAAGTACCTCGGACCTATTTTGCAACAGAGTCAACACGCGTAGTTCTTTTGAATTTTTTTATTAGTGTATTTTTAACGGGGTTTCGGGAACCGAAAGCGTTGGAGGAAACCTTAATAGGAACGCGATCAGGAGATTCAATGACAGAAGGATAGAAACCTGAAAACATGGGTTGTTTACAAAAATAAATCAACATTCATGAAAAGAAGATTGATAAATTTCTGTAACTAAGTACCGTTGAAATTTGGCATCAAAATAGTTCGAATCACCACACAACATAACAGGAAAAACATTTAAATAATCTATGAAAGCGACAGAGGGCAAATTTGAACAGCCAGAAAATTCAGTTGAGAGATAATAAGTGGAGATTTATGTGTTTTCGATGGAAATATCCTCAGTTGCTAAGGCAATCGGGTATGTATTCAAGAAAATATGCGTTAATATAGAGGGTAGATTGACGAAAAGAAATACTGGTACTGTGTTCCCAAACATGCTTAATATATGCGAAGAACCCTACACCACATCTTGGAGATTGGACTGAGTGATCATCGCGTTAGGCTCTGGATCCATTAAGTCTGACAACCTCGTTAACTATTTTCTCTTGTTTGACTCAAGAGAGTGATTCGAAGCGCATAAAACTCATCGATATTAGTGATACACAGTTTTCGCTCCGTAGCTTGTTTTACATTTCACATTTTGTACTCTCGCTTGCATTTTGCACATGTCTAAGTCATTTTGGTCGAAAGCTAAGATTATTGGACAAGCTATTCATGGGTTTCTGGAAGCCAATGTTTCACATATAGTTCACAAAGGGTTGAATGCCGTTAAGCGTAGTTTGAGTGGGCTGAATTCATTCTTGTCTCTTTGACAAGCTTAAAGATTTTCATGCATACGTTTCATTGATAGCCAAAGGAATATTTGCAGTGATCATTGTCTGATGATGCTCAATTGTAAAAGTTTCTTTTTTGTCAGTCTCGTCCGATCGTTCCCATTGACCAGTTTACTTCACCAGGAAGTTGTGATTGCTGTGTTCTTTTTATCCATTGTCCGTCTTTTCTTCCTCCTTTTAATTCGTGAAGGTGAACTGTGGATAGTATTTGTTTATGAATCCATCTGTATTCAGACTTTTCTGCAATCAATAATGACTGAAAATGTGCTGTTACTTTCAAGTAGAAAGATGTAATGACCGGTTTCTCTTTTTTTATTCAGATGCGATAAAAGATCTATATATATACCAATAACCGAACCACTGGTATTTGAACAACAAGCTCAAGTTTACTATCATGGTTCGTTAATCCTTGCGATCAGATTATCACTGCAGGTATCATTTTTATCAAGTTGAAAGGTAACTACTAACTGTATGGTATTATTCGTAGATTCTCGCTGGAATTTTAGAAAATTCCCGACTCACTAGAGAGTATCAAATTCTGCATTTTGAACTCACCAGAAAGAATTTTGTTCTAGTTTAATTTCGCATTAAGTCCTGAATTGAATGTAATTTTCAGAGTTGGTGGTTGAATGTAGTGTTAGAGACGTTAGTAAAACGGTATACCAACCAAAAGTTAAGTAATAATGAATCAAGAGTTACTGTCTTCTGTGCGCCTTTTGGGGATGCTCACGAATATGCTAACATCAAATCAAAATACAATTTTGGGCTCTATGCCTTTTAGGGGTTAAGATATTTCTTGATGTACCTCGGTATCGATCAAGTCATCATTCACCTCGTATATTGTTTTCTAATGTTGATCTAGATGTTACACCAAAAGATCAGCAAAATTTTGGACAACCCGAACACACCCCCAAGGTTACTTTTCATGGACAAAGCGAATTCGTTCGTGCCGGGTTCATGTTGTCGTCGATGTGGGGCACGTTACACAAATCTGGAAGTGAGTGATTGGAAATCGTAAAGCACAAAGCATTTCAACGCTTATATCCAGTGTGTACACTAGACCTCTCACTCATCTCTTAATTCCTCTTTATCCACGTTACACAGCGCCAACCCGATTTGTGGCCAGACGATCCACCTCGTATTGCTATTTTGGGCAAACCCTGTACAGGGAAGACTACTTTGGCCAGACGTCTCTGTGCTCAATGGAATTGCCAACTGATAAACGGTACGTTTTCTTGCTAATCCAAATGTGGTTAGTGATGATTTTAAATGCGACTAAAACCTCAATACTAAAACCTACATCGGTTAATGGCGGTTATAGGCAATTATATGGCATTTATATGTCAATGCGTTGCATAATGAAATGGCAATTGACACACGGAAAACGTATAATTTAATTGCTGTTTGAGTTTTTTTCTCATTTTTTTTCGCTTATTGTGTATGTTGCTGTTTGCTCTGATTGAGTGTGAGGTTATTGGTTTGCACGATAGTAACGTTTCGGATTTTGACCTTGAAACACGCTAGTTTTTTAGGCAACGATGTACATGATCTCCCGGGTTCCGTTCGGGAAATGGATGAAGTTCAACCGAGTTTCACGTCGAGATGAAATAAATATTGATGTAAAAAACGCTGTATATCCTGAGCTACTCGGAAAAGTGGTAATCCAGACGGTTTGTCCTCGAGCGCTCCATATAAACAGAGCTTAACTTCATCATGGTTGTTTAGAAAAATGTGCTTCCGGCATTCGAAATGTGAGGGGACACTCAGCTATCTGACATTGTTTGAGCGTATTACTTCTGCATTCACGAACGGTTCGAATTGCAACTTGGTCTTCACCAGTTAGTTGTCCCCGTTGTTTAGCCACTGTGTGGAACAGGGCAGACGCCAGAATCTTACGGGTTACTTTGTTTGTGCTCATAGTCCTTTTATTGATAATGAGGTAACCCGGGAAATAAGTTATCTCAAAAGATGCAAGCCCTTCGGCCGGGTTGAGTACAATGGTTCCGTGTTGGTATTGAAATGAATGAAACTCCTGAGAAATTGTGAAAGAGGGAACCGATTCCAACGAACTAGTGTGCATCGGTCATCATAGCAATTTACAAGAAAGGTGAAAGGTTATCTTGTGAAAACCACAGAGAATTAGTTTATTCAGACGATATTGTGCTGCTAAATACAGGTAATTTGCAAGCTTATCTGTATAAGTTGAGTGCCAGGGTAGCGCAAGTTTTGTGATGTGGGCAGCTACATCTCACCCTGCGGACGTATCACGGGTGAACAATCAGCTCACACGCAGAAGATTCGACTGGTATGTGCTAAGTAAAGCTTCTCTGGCGCCGTCACGACATCCGGCTGTTTGTGACGGGTCGAGTGTATGACTATTGATTGACCACCTGTGCACCGCCAAGGTTATTCTTGAATAATTCAGTCCATCTATCTGCTCATGTAAAACTAAGGGAGGTATGACTGAGTGCATGAACATTTATAGAAAAACAGAAAGGAGGGAAATTTAAATATGAAGTAAATAATAAGCGATCGCGCAAAACAACTTTCAGTTAAGCAAAAATGATTGTCGTTACTTTAAATTTGAAGGGCCTCAAGTTCGCCTGATCAATGCAACTACTTCGTTTGATTGTGTATCATTGGAGGAAATTTGACTTATTGTTTTCACTCACTGGCAGTCGAGTATTTGTCAGTTGTAAAGACTACTACCTCTGTCTGTTAAAACCACTCTCTGTTTTGCAGCCACGGATCTGATGCAGGAGCATCTGAATCGAAACACCGCGACGGGACAACGTATAAGAGAAATACTCTGTTCTGGAGCAGATTTGTCGGATCACTTTGTAGTCAACATGCTTTTGGAAAAACTCTCATCCCCCGGTTGCACAGAAACCGGCTACGTGATTGATGGCATTCCAACACACAGTGAAAAATCGCACTCAATTGCTTCTCAATTGGACTTCTTACGCTCGATAGTTCCACCACCAGACTATCTTTTCGTGATCGAGGTTAGTTTGCAACCCGAAATTCCATAAATGACCATCTGCACCACATCTCACTAATTTCATAAAATTTTTATTCAAAAATTCACAGACTGTGAGAAGTTGGAGATTTGGGGCATATGTATATGCTGTGTCACACTGTCCGGGTAGGCATAGGCTTTTGTCTTATCCTTGGGTTATGAGGGGGTATGAGGTAATACCAATCGTTCTTTGTAAACATACTACCTAAATCAAAACAGTGCTCAATCTCAAAGTGGCATAATTCAGATTATTTCCAGGAGACTTCACGTGTGATCCATTGGATTCTTGTCATAGTAAAAGTGGTGGGAATTCGTTTTTATACCTCCCAAAACAGCTTGTACAGGCGCTTAAGCTTCCTTGGTCGGCCCACATCCACACACACATTGTATATTACGATTAATTTCAATGATCAGATGAGTGAACAAACAACTATATGATCACTGTGAGCCCGGTCTGGTGATGAATCAATCCTAATAGTCTGTGATATTACTTTTATTTTTAGTTTATTTTCCAACACGATTCCACTCTTCAATACTGACGTATTATGAAGTATTTGCACGAATACGAATCATTGGAAATGGACTTGTTTGTCCCTGTGGTTTTGTTTACAATTTGCTCCGTGGCACAGTTCGGGCAAACTAGTCGTATCTGATTGATTCCTCTGAGGTCTAAAAGAAATTCACACAATTTTACACAAGAGCTTAAGTTCAAAGGTGACAATTTTTTATGATTCATCTCTTATCGCGATGGTTACATCGGGAGACCCAACACTATAGCCAAGTTTATTTACAATCTCCGTCACACCAGAACAGAAGAAAAGTGCGTTTGACAAATCTTCATGGTCCGCTTCTCGAAGAAGCAATGATACATGCTCTCTGGCGTTTTGAAAGCGATTCTCTCCTTTCGCTTATGAAATTTGTAGTGGGCAGATAATTCCTATACCAAGAATGATGAATAGTAAAATTAAAACTTAATTACTATGACCAGGTTATTAAAACGAGGTCTTACAAGTTTGTCACTTCCATATTAAGATTCTCATTTTGCATAATCTTTACACCAAGACGAGGTCTTTAAGCCGTCCCAGAGTAGACCACGCATTATCCACTTTTAAAGCCTCAAATCCTACAATTTTTTTTCAATTAATAAACATTTGAACTCTGCTTTCGTTGGTACGGAGCAAAGCGATGGAACCAATAGTTCCAACTGCTTTCCACGCACTGGCAAGTTAACTTTATCTATGTTTTTCACCTAAGGATACTCCTACCTTTTACTGAACGCTATTTTTCATACCATTGGTCAAATGAAAACCGCACTCTATATCTTGCACTTAAGGTGCTGAAAGTATAAAGAAACGATAAATACTATTTACTGGTAATTTTCACCAATTTCCCTCTTGGCACTTAGTTTCAGTGACCAGTTTCCCCAGCATTAAATAATCTACCGATATTATTTTTTTAACTCCCGATTGGGTGACCTTTGTGAATTTTTACTGTACTTTCTTCAAACAGGTAGTTTCTTTTTACACCTTTTCAAAAGTCTTACAGTTTATGCACCATTTCATTTTTAAGCCTATCAATAAACTTAGGGAATCTGATTCCTTTGTGATCGATTTCTTCATTGAAAAACATTTAGAATGAGAACATTTCAAACGTACGGTTTTGTTAGTCAACTTACCTATTTTATATCACCCTAATCCGATGAAGATACCTGATGCTGCGTTAAGAGAACGGTGGCAAACGATTCGGATTGATGTTGCCGACGGGACTTTGTACACCACGCGCATGTTCGGTAACCTGGGTCGGCATCCTTCACAATCTCGAGGACGATGTACAAGACACGCTGATTTTCCAGAGTTGGATGATAAAACACGGCAACGATTGATCACCAGGCATGAAGAGCTTCCCGAAAATTTGGATCGTCATTTCCAATTCTACAATGACCAAATTGCTCCACAGTTGCGCGAGTTTATTCGCCAACATAATCCAGCCAAATTAGTCATACTTGATGGAGAACAGCACGCGGATGCGATGGTGAACGTGAGTTTTATTTTTTAAAGCTACTTCTTTTTTCGCAAACAGTACGGGTGGAAGAAAAATGTAGTGAGGCATGCTATTTGTACCTTTCAGGTGTGTAGCATACTTCTTTCGCTGATAAAAAGTACATGCTGCATTTTATGTATGTTCACCCCTTGATGAGTCGACACAAGCGTTGAACGTACGATAGCTACAAGGTGAACATTTGGTTAACGATTAGCTCTCAGCAGTACTTAAAATTCTGTCTTTCCACCAACGTTCTGGTCCAGGGTTATGACCTTTACTCCTAAGATAAACAGATGAGAGAACCCAACGATCTTCCAAGGAGTTAAAACACCAACACAAAACGCACCGAACTAGCACAGGAAGCGGCTGGGGTTCGTAAAACCTGGAATGGGTTAACTTCAACATTGCAAAGAAATCCACTGTAACCCTTCACTTAAGCTAGTGGCCGTTAGTCGTGCGTTTCGGACATAAGGGTCCCAGCGGTACACGCGAAACAATTTGAATCCTTACCAGCACATGGGATGTATGCCAAGCCGGCTAGCTGCGACAATAAAGAATCACCTGTTCAGTGTTCTTTGCCGACCATAATGCAGTGATTTACGGTGCGGCTATTATGCATCCTCACCCGATACTTGATTTGTATAACTGGGAATCATTGAAAAGAGTTACTCATCACTTTCAGAATGATTCCAGGAGAGTATGACTCGAATATTTTCCATATGTTGTAATTAGATGCCATTTCTTCTCTAGTTCATTTGATCTGTAATTCCCTTTATGAGAAAGCCAAATATGTGCATTGTGCGTTTCTGGACTATTCTTCCGCTTTCGATTCGGTGCCCCGTTCTCTTTTACCTAACAAGCTCCAATCTTTTGGTTGTCCCACTAATCTTCTTGAATGGATTGCTCATTACTTTTCGCAAAGATATCAACATGCTAAATTAGGAAGAAGGCAGCCAACTGCATCAGTCAATAGCTCGGGTGTACTTCAAGGTGCTGTCCTATCACCCTATCTATTTTCGACTTATGTCAGTGACATACCTCTAACTCCCCCCTGTTCGACATTTTAAGTGTTTTAAGGCATTGTACACCTCCCACGTCAGACCTCGCTTGGAGTTCGCGAGCGCCGCGGCATATTCCTATACAACTGCTGAAATGGTGAAGCTGGAGAGAGTCCAACGAGCTGCCACCCGTATGATTGCCGGGTTACGCGGGTGTTGCTACACCAAACGATTGCATGCGACTGGATTGTTTCCGGAGTCCTATCGCCGAGTACGGGGTGATATCTGTGTGCGACGTATTCTTCGCGGTGACATGGGTTCAGATTTGATGGAGTATTTCCCTCTGCGCGAGCAGACCAGGACTCGTGGACATGGACTTACGCTGTTGAAGCTTTCGTCCGTAAGATTACCTCTTCGGTTCCGGTTATCACGAAGGGTAACCAAGCTTTGAAACTCCCTTCCAGCTGACGTGGTGGACGAGGTCAATGATAAGATGTTCAAGAGGAAGCTCTCGACAGCGTCCTGCGGACAATGTGGTACGCAGATCTATCATGAATGAGATCTTCGAGTCTGTGGTGATGAGGCTCATACGGGAAATTACCCTCTGCCTCTAATTGAAGAACATTGAACATTGAACATTGATATCGCCATTTCTGTTTCCGTATCTAAACAATCAGAACTGGTTGAATATAACACACACCTATCCCACCTCGTTTTATATTCCACTTTTTCCGGTCTTAATCTTGATCCTGAAAAATGACTTGAATGTATTTTTACTCTAAACCGTATCCCATCTCGCTCCGACTATGTCCAGATTCGTGGAAAGCCGATGAGCAGGGTCAGCCGCGTGAAGTACTTAGGTGTCACACCTGAAAGTAACCTTCACTGGTTTCTACATACCCAAAGTATTGCTCGCAATTTGAAAAGTCTCTCTTTTCAGATAAAAAGACTGCGCCACTTCTGTTCTTACTCGTTGGTGATAAGCGCTTTCGTTCCACAATGTATTCTCCCTGTACCCCTGTACTGCTCCCCCGTAATTTTCCCTGGTTTGCTGAATGTTGATTTCAGGTTGCTGAGGCGTGGCCTCAATGATCAGCCGTGTCTCCCAAGTTCCGTTATCTGTTCTGATTGGCAATATGTGTAATGCCCATATTGATGCATGCTTAAAGTTTGCTGACAATCTCCTATCTGATTGCACCCATCTTCTACACGCTGACTTGTGTGCATGCAAATCCCACCCTTCCCCCCTTTCTGAGTACAAACTTATCCCGTCTCGCATATCCCCATACAGAAACTCTTTGGTATCCTATCTTGCCCGGATACTGACCGATAAGGAAAGTGTTCGTTCTGAGCTTTCTAGTGCAGTTAGTAATTAACTCATATTTTGGTACGTTTCACATTCCACTTTTTCTCCCGTTTTTATCAGAATTGTAACGGTGGTCTATTTTTTTGGTTGAAAGCTTGTATATAACTCGCTGAAGCTTGAATAGAATACAGTACAACACAATTGGAATATCAAAAGTCAATTAACTTACCTGTTGTACTGGTTTTCTGTGCTCCTCTCGGTATTGTTTGATTTCGTCTAATCAGCTACTGTTTGGGATCAGAGTTTCTATTTAGAAGTTGATTTTCATACCTATTATTATTGGATTGCCTTTTTCTCTTTAACTGAAACACTACAAAATCGCAAATACTCCTAATACCGTCGAGTAATCAGTCTCGTGAATAAAAAATGATACTTTTGAGGATGATATTTCAACCCTGAGCACTTTTCTATCCACCTTAAATTTACTGAGGATAAACGTGTTTCAACTAAAGAACTCCCTAATTTATAAGAACGTTTTTGAAGACTCATTGAAATCACATCTTTATCCCGTCAGACTTTGTTGTATAAGCTCAATGTCATGGCACGAAATCCAAATGTACCAACAGCAGAACTATTTGCGGAACCCCCACGCCCCGGACATGATAGGGATATGTTTTGTAACTGTCCGCACCATAATCATATGCAAGTTGAGGTAAGTGGTACCAATATTTGCTTTGATGAAAAATGTATGGTACGATAGCCTATCGCTGAGCTTTGGACAGACAAACCGCCCCGTGTGCTTATTGTGGGCAAACCGTGTACAGGAAAAACTACTTTGGCTAAACGTCTATGTGCTGCATGGAATTGCGAATTGATTAACGGTGAGTGTACTGCGGTATTCGATTATTGTTAGTGATTGCAATTCACCTTCCATCTTTTGCCTATACGACAGTTTTATTTTATTTGCATTATAGCATCGGAAATGATAAGACACGCATTAGAGACAAAATCTGATTTGGGGCGGTCTATTCGTGAAAATTTAGTCAAAGGATACGATCTCAATGATCATCTAATATTGGAGTTGCTGCGCCAAGCGATCAACAGCCCAGCAGCAATGTCAAATGGATATATTCTAGACGGGTTGCCGACACACAGTGAAATGGTCATGTCTGTACCAGACCAGTTACAGTTTTTACGGAAACTGGAGAACGGCCCGGATTACATTATTGAGATTCAGGTGAGTATCCAAACTAATCAGTCAGAAGAGACGTAGCCAAGTTCAGTCTACGGGACTCCTTTGATTTTATCAGTCACATTGCACCAATCAACTTAACCAATAAACAGATGTTCTCACTGGATGCTACCTCATTATTTACCAATGTGCCATTCTAAGAGACCATCGCTGATTATATAGAAAATTCAGGAACTTATGTCGGACTACCCGTAGCTGAGTTCAAGAGGCTTCTTTATGTATGCACATATAACATACAGGTTCAGTTTAATGATGCAGCTTATAGACAGAAAGACGGAATGGCCATGGGTTTGTCATTAGGACCACTATTAGCAGATATTTTCATGGCCAAATTAAAAAACGGAGTACTCTCAAAACCCATAAAAGAATCCCCCTTCTGCAAACGATATGTGGATGTCATCATATGTGTATACGATGCTGACAAGGATGCTGATATTCTGTTGGAGAAATTGAAGGNTGAAGGGAGCTCATCCGAAAAAAGAGTTCACGCTGAAAAAGGAATCCACAAATGGTCTCGCATTTCTATGTGTGTTATTTTCTCGACAATCAAATGGCTCCCTTAGTAGAAGCATCCATCATAAGAAAACATGGACGGGAAAGTATACACACTACCATAGCTTCGTCCCATCGCAACAGAAGATAAATTTGATTCGCTGTGCAACCAACACAGTTAAGAAACTTTGTTCTTCAGACTCTGTCGAGTTTGAACTGAGAAGAATACAAAATGTTTTTCTAGAGAATGAATATCCTGAGTTATTCATTCATAAAAGCATGACATGTTATCCCTCCAAGACATTATGTGACACAGCAAATAAGAAGCGTGTCTCTCTCCATGCCATTTAGGGGAGAAACGATCGCGAAAGTATTGAGTAAACGAATTCAATCTTCCATCAAATTCACCTACTTTGCGGCTGAACCCTGCATTATACTCACGTCCAAACCGGTCCTCTTTATGCATACCTCCGTTGCTATTGAAACCTCTCATTTTACTGTGCACTGAAAACGTGCGCTTCCAGTTTCAAGGTACCGCGTTTTGACAGACAGAAGGTGTGGCGATGGGTAGCCCCCTTGGTCGTATCCTGTCTGATACTTTCATGGGTATGATTGAAGCACGGATGTATGAGGCAATCAAGGGAACATTTTTCTACAAAAGATACGTGGATGATGTGCTCTTCAACTTCAATCACCCTCACGATATGGCTGCATTGCTCGGTGAATACAACGCAGCACACCCCAACTTGATATTCACCTGCGAAGTGGAGAAGGCAAACTCGTTAACTTTCCTAGGTGTCCTAATAACCCGTAAAAGTGACGGTTCTATCCAACCATCTATCTTCCGCAAGAAGACTTGGTCCGGGCAGTACCTTCACTTCAACAGTTTCTCAACAATAAAACACAAGAGAGCCCTGGTTCGAACATTGTTCCACAGGGCGAGAAAAATATGTACAGAGGACACAATACTAAGTGAACAGGAGAATATCTATAGCGCATTACGGGTAAATGGTTACCCGGAATGTTTCGTTCGTTTTCATAGTCAGATAGGAAACCGAACTCAAGCCACTACCTTTCGAGTGTCAAAAAGAATATTCACATCTCGCTGCCATGCAAAGGGGATTCAATAATGCAGCTTATCACACAGCGTATCAAAAACGCGTTACAAAGAACCTACTACGCTGCCGCATTAAGACTCCATNCCATCCGACCACAAGGCACCTCCCCCTCCTCCCATTTAAAGATCGTCATCCAGTCGAGTCTACCTCTCATTGAATTTACGCCTACAACGAAGCATACATTGGTAGAACCGACCGATCACTGCGATCTAGAATGGTTGAACACATCCCCAAGTATGTGCGTGACTCTATGAATCAGCCCACACCACACACTCTGACCGACTTCGGCCATCGCACGTCACTTGGTTGAAAGCGGCCACAGGGTAGACCTTACGTACGCGTTCTCGGTTTTGTTACGTCATCGAGACAAATACCGACTAAGAATACTCGAGGCATCATCGATCGCTCTCAACAAACCCACACTGTGCATCCAAAAACGTATGACCTTTACCCTTGGCCTTCCCTGGTTGTAACCAATCACGTGCATCACACACATGGTTAATACTAACTAGATTTCTTAATTCGCTTCATTTGTCTATCTTACGCGACTGATGAGAGTATACGAAAGGAACTAGTCTCGCAGTGTTTGTCTTCTGACTTGCTTGTTCAAATTCATTACGGGATCCAAATGTTTTAGACTAAGGATAGATTACACCCGGATGCGACCTCGTTTTGTGTTTATCAATTCATCCGTTCCTGTGGAGCAAGTTATGTGGGTCGAGCGATGATGCGTCTATCTGATCGCATCAAGGTGCAAAATCCCGTTTGGTTGAATCAGGGATTTGTATGTCTATTGTGAAAAGTTCTTTTCACAATCGACACACAAACTTCAAATCCGCCAAACAACTGTTTGAACCATGGAATGACAAGGACCGGTGCGACTGCAATTACGAACCATTTGACTGCGTCTAATCACAGTCAGTGTGCTTGAGGCTTTCAGTCCTCTCTGCAGGGTCAAAAGTAGTTTATCCAAAGAGGTCAAGTTCAAAATTGTCAACTGCCGAGGCGATTGCCATCGGTCTCCACAACCCACCCACCACCCTTGTGCACCCAGAAACGGTTTGTAAGAACATTGGTTTTACTGTGGTCATCCACTAACAATCTGGTGACGTAACCTCCGTTTACGATCAATCACCCATTCATCTACCCACCCATTCACAACTACTCTCACTTTTCACGCACGCACACACACTCACGAATATCAATTATCACATGTCCATCATCATTCCTTGAACTCTGTTTTCCTTCGCAGATATTGGTCTATTCTCCCCACCTGTTTTCATTTTATAAATTGTGCTGTATTTAGCTGTATTTAGTTGAGGTAGCACCGAAAACGAGCTTGTTTGCTATTTTATGGTCTGTTCATCATTCGATAAATGTGAATGCGTGTGACGTCGGAACCCCACGCTTTCCGTGGACCCGCACTCTTGATTCCACGGGAAAGATTAAGGCTATTACTCCAAGCTTTACTCCAGCTTTCTCCATCTCTCCACAGATTTCGTCCCATCAGTTCTCAGTGAATACACAATGATAAAATCTTCAGGAACAGAAATTGGAAAAGGCACTGATCGTGGGATTCAAACATTCGTCGTTCATCCTCCAGTGAGATGGTGTTTAAGGGATTGGAGCTTAGTATCATATATGGCATGAGAGGTACTATAGTCCAGCGCGGAGCCAACGAAGCAGCAGAAGTCGAGGAAATCCACGTTTTTCTGATAGACGTTAAATTCACTTTTTTATCAGGTTCCAGTGTCCATTGATTTATACTGTTAGTGGTTGAATCTATAGGCTACGTTCTCGAAGCCGATTGGCATTTTTTTAATTGCACTGTATTCACTGACAAAATCAGAATGTTTACTTCTTATGCATGATGCGATTTACCCTCGCCGAATCAAAAACAAATCTCACATTCTAACACAACAAATAAGGCCCACTGGATCTCACAAAATCAGAAGAATTACGATACTCACAGTTAGAGCATCAGGTTGGTAAATATCCACAGACAAGATGACGTATTGACATTCATGCAAGAAACTGATGAAACCAGCATATCAAAAGAGTAATATTGTTGTAAATGTATACAGATTCTCTGGAGCGCATAAACAGAGGGATATTTTGCTGAAAATGAAATAAGGTATTTGGATCTGGGTTTATTGTGATTGGTTCGTGCAAGCAGAAGGCATAACCGTGAGTGTCGGATACCAGAAAAGTAGCGATTGGTTAGTCTCTGGATCGTTCGGTAGCTCACTAAAGTGCATTTTACTTTCATTAAACATTAATCTATTCAGAATGTTCCAAATGTGGTACCTCCAGTCCAATAGTTGATGTATGAACAGCATAGCATCGATCACATTGTGAGGTTCTTGATAAAACATCACTGATGGATCCAGTTGCAGTTCATATGGCACNGTTTCATTAAAACAGATGGAAATTGTTTTGCATAAAAGAATTCTATGCATAGGCTGTTCCGATAATTAATCAGAACATGGTTTCACTTTCTACGTCACCACTGCATTTCAGAAATAACATTTGACTTTCGTGAATGGGAGCAATCATCAATAATTTGTTGATCCGTTTTAGCTGATAACTAAATGCACGTATTAGACAATACATTTCTTGGATGGAACTACTTTCTTTTACTCAGATGGCTGATGACAAGCTTCGCAATCGGTGGGAGGCTATTCGAATTGACGTTGCAGATGGCACGTTGTATTCACGCCTCAATTACGACCGTCCACCCGCAGTTCAAGTGAACGGACGTCGAACACGCCATCCGGACTTTCCTATCATTGATGAGCAAACTAAGGATCGCTTGTTAACGCGCCACGAGGAATTGGCTGAGAACTTGGATCGACACTTTGAATTCTATCATCAAAGAATTGATGAACCCTTAAAACAACACATCGCTTCTCACGATCCATCCATGGTTGTGCGTGTGAATGGTGATCTGTCACCAACACAATTGTTTCAGGTACACTGCTCCACTCTGTATAATCTGTTAGCGGTCAGTGAACGCGAATCTACGACACCTTTTCCTATCCAGTTTTTATCATTTCTCGTGTTGACTCGTGTGAGCTTTCCTTGTCATCACCACATTCATCACTTCACGAAGATTGAAATGCAGTCTTACGGTTTACAACAAAAGCCTGTGAAACGACCAAATACTGTCAGGAGCAACTGGGAATGGGGTATAACAATGAAAATATTTCAGCATAGCTGCAGTCAGTGCTTTACCAAGAGTGAATTGCGATAGCTTTTGTGCAAGTCTGCATCCATTTCTGCTACCAATGGCATGTGTAAATCCTGATCTCTAAAACAGAACGCCACGTGAAGCACAAACCGTGAATAGCACTTGAGTACGTAGATATATATATATATAACGTCATTGGCTTGCGAATAAACGTGGTACCAACGCAACAACGATAATAAGAAAAATCAAGGGATTCTGTTGTGGAAGGGAGCGATATTCAGTCCAGTTGAACCTCATTCTATCCACTTTCTGTTGGTATTTCATTTATTCACACCTTTTCTCGGTAGTGGTGCATACGAATCCTAAAGGCAGTTCATCGGAAGAATTTTATTTACCATTTTTATCTTGCAAACTTGACGGCTATGTTTCTTGATAATTCAACCATCTTTTTTGTTATCAGTCAGTTCTATTACGGTTGTCTATCATGTCAAGACATCCAGGCGTGGACACAGCTGTACTCTTCCCGACAGGAAGCGGTGAATCCGGTGAGGCAGAAGACAGCAGTCATTGCGAATGTGGAGATGCTGACGGAGTGAGTTGATTGTACTCTCATTAAACTTATGAATGTTCAGCCAATACTTATATGAATAAAATCATATATATATATATACATATATATATATATACTCTTGTCTGCCATCAGATTGTATGTCCAGTAGATATTACTGAAAAGTTGTTTGCTGAATACACACAAACCTGATAGAAAAGATGGTACAGAGCATAATTGAAAATCCTAATTTAGTGTGTTCCATTCAATACGATTTACGTTTATCTTTTCGAGCATACTTTCGGTTAAATATTGGTGGGATACGAATAACTTCACCATCTATCCTATTTACAGTCGCTCTCTTTCTGGAGTCCAGATTCGAAAAATTAAGGTCTGTCAATACACTAACCTGATAGTCGAGATGAAGCTACACTTAGCAGAGCTATCAACTTCTTGCTTTGCCTTCACAATGATTGTCTGGCTTCAGCTTGTTCAAGCTTGTTCTCGTTGATCTCTAAAATAACGAAAGTGATGGGGAGGATGATGGTAACTAAATCCCTCAGATATTTGTATAGCTTTCCATATGAATTCTTACAAATGGTTGTTTCAGGCCGTCGCAGGCAAATTCAAAGCGATATCGCTTTATCGAGCCTTTTTTCCAGGAGTTATCGTCCCCTTTGATCAACACTCCTTTCCAGGTCTGTTTCTACAGCTTTTACTTCACTGTACACCTGTCGGTTACTGCTGACCGATGAGTGACAGCACTGACGTGTACTATGAACAGGGCTTCGTGGAATCAAAGTGTAGTAACTGTACGCTATTATCTGGTTGCGCGTTATCCGTGAAACAGTTCATGTTGCCAAAATTGTTAAATAGCGCTAGATTCCTGGATCGCAAACCTCGACATCAGTGCAGTTGGTGGTTAAGGACACTAAGTGATATGGTGCTCGTTCACCCAGTCACCCTCTTCACAACCTTAGTCTACATGAATATCTAAGTTCATCTTGATACTACTGCTATGTTTCTATATCTTGAGTTTATTCCTTCTAATCTCCAAGAGTAGTCAAAAGAGAGCAACTAAAACCCCTCTCGGAAATTTGAGGTTAGTGGTTATGTACGTATGTACATATGTGCATATATGTACATATATAACACCGGCTGGTAGATAAGCACGGTGCCAACGCTACCACAATAATAACAATAGGGATAATAAGAGTTAGTTGGATTGGGGTACAGAACAAAGTGGAAAAAGAGTGAAACACTTAAACACGGAAAAATGGTAGATAGCTGGGGTAACAAAATGTTTGTGTGTTTCACCGTATATTTTTTGTACATTCTTGTGTGTCCTTCGAATTAGTTGTGACACCTGATTGTTTTTTTCAAGACTTATCAATGGACGATTGTTAATCTCGATGTTGCTTACTCTCGCTGCATCCTAGTATTTGACTCTACGCAAAAATAGGCGATTAGATACCTCATTGTAGCTAATCCAATCTTGGATATTCTCAGGCTCACCTCCCATATTCTATTGTTTCCATTCATCACACAACTGACTAAACTGAAGAGCCATCCGTCTTTAGTTCATAAGCACTCAACCATGAAGTTGGGTTGATGTAGTATTCGGAATTGAATAGCTCAAACTCAAATTTGGATTGAAAACCCACCATATAGCTCAAAATCAGATAGGATTAAGACCAGTTATGCAAACAATTAGTTCTATTCGGAAAATTATACAAATAAATATCGACAGCATTCAACAATCATCGATCGATTCTTCAATGTCCAATCGACAACCATATGGCTCATTTGGTTGCCTTCTTACATTCAGCCAATCCGATTGATGCCAATTGAGACTACAGGACTCGTCGGGAAATCGGTTGCCTGATTGGTTACCTGTAAGCTACACCGTGGTGCTTGCGTACTCGTTACACGATCACCATACTGATCCAGATATTATCCGACGAACTCTTGAAATCAGATGCCATTGTGAATGCCCAGTTTTATGGTAATGGCACCTCTTCAAAGACTGTGCTATATCATTGCATAAATGCGAAGAACTTGAATCGGAAACTATCTTCATTGGAGGTCGACGTTTAAAAAGTAAACAAATAAGAATTGGAGACCATAATATCTCTCTTGTTAATTCACACAATCCGAATCCATGTATTCACCCGCGGCCATAAAAATCTGGGGAATAATCATGTGTTTTAAACTAAATGTGATATGAAATGAAGATTCAGTATAGGGAGTCTAATGGGAGGCTGGGTCAAGTCTTGCATTTCAGTTTGATGGGCGAAACGTTCAAGAAAATTAGTCAACAATTCCCAATGTGTGCGTAGGTTTTTTGTTTGAATGACTGTTTTCATTTCACTT